ATTGTACAGTGGCATTAAGTGCCATAATGTGCACCTCTGCCTACCCCTTCGGGGATAAAAGGCGTGATGTTATGATGATGATGATTAATTGAATTAATTTTCATGTAACTTTTTTGTTTCAGAGGACCAGAAAAGATTTTCCAAAAATATAATTCGACTTCATCGGGCCAAGTTTGACAAAATGAGTGTTTGCAAAATGTTCTATTTGGATGCAGCAATACCTGTCAATGTTTCCATCTTAGTAACCAATTATATAGTAGTTCTGTTGCAACTTGAAATGAAATGAAATGAAATGAAATGAAATGAAATGAAATGAAATGAAACATTTATTTGTGATACATAGGTACATTTGGTTGGTCATTTTTAGATTAAAGTGCGCTATGATCAGCCTATTTTAGGCATACAAATACTCGTATAAGAGTTTAAATCAGTAAGTCCATTAATTAGTTAGATAAGTAAATATGAATTTGTCGTGTTTTAATAAATTACATGTCAATAGTGTCCGTCAAAAAGTCAGATGAGGAAGACTACTTAATGCTTAATAGATTATAATAAATTGATGTCAATAAGTAGGTAATTAATAGATTATTGTAGTCAATACGTTATAGCTATACATAAGTCAACAAATAAGCAAAATCAAAATTTATCCATTAAAAAATCTGAGACACTATAATAACATTTTTGACACAGTAATTGTTTTAAAGATTTTTTAAAAGAATTAACATTAGCTTGTTTTAGCTCTTTTGGTAATTTATTATAGATAGCTGGAGCCATACGAAAGATACTTTTATGCATTAATGCGGTATTCGTTATGGGTATACATAGACGACTTTCATCCCTTTGTGGCCGATTATAAGCTTCAGATAATAAAATAAAGTGTTGAGGATTTTGCCTTACAAACACCGCGGTTTCATAAATGTATAGTGATGGTAAGGTCATAAGATTGTGTCTTTTGAAGAAAGGTACACAGCTGTCAGTTGCCTTCAAACCAAACATAGCCCGGACGCACCTTTTCTGTGCCCTAAAGACAAGAATTTTGTTGGTGGAATTCCCCCAAAATATTATGCCATACCTAAGAACAGATGCTACCAGCCCATGATAAGCGATTATTAGTGTATTGCAATTAATTTTATGTGCGAGTTCATGTAGGACATAAGCTGATTTACTCATACGTTTGCATAGTTGTTCAGTATGCTGTTTCCAAGAAATTTTATCATCAATATGCAAACCGAGAAATTTTGTACTTTTTGTTTCATTAATGGCTTGTGCGTTATAATTTACATTCAAATTGTTCGGTGAAGGTAAGCGTTGCTTGAAATGCATTAATTGCGTTTTAGTTAAGTTTGCTTTTAGATTATTGACATTAAGCCAGTTCATGATAGAACTCAAGGTGTTATTTATATCATGTTCATAGTTGATTTTATTTGTGCATTTTATTGTAACTGTACTATCATCCGCAAACAGAGCTATAGGATTGTCAGTGGCATTAGGCAAGTCATTAATGTACAGTATAAATAGTGTTGGACCCAGAACGCTACCTTGGGGGACACCGTATTTCAGTTTTCGTTTGCATGATCGAAACGTTTCTTCTTTTTTTGTCAAAATATTAATTGTAGTCAATTCAGTGTATTGATTGCGTCCTTTAAGATACGATTCGATTAAGTTCAAAATATTACCTCTTATTCCGTAATGATAAAGTTTCCCGACTAATATATCATGGTCAACGTAGTCAAAAGCCTGCGTCATATCCATAAAGATTGAGCATACAGGTATTCTATTGTCGACATCAGCCATAACTATTTTCAGAAAATCATATATTGCCATGTTAATAGTTTTATTGTGTCTAAATCCCTTTTGTTCATTTGCTAAAATATTTTTACATTCCAAATAATTGTTGAGTTCTTTACATATGTGTTTCTCAAATATCTTTGATATAACTGAAATTAAAGCAATGGGTCTATAGTTTTCTAGATATTCTCTATTATCTTTTTTGAAAATTGGTTTAATAATAGAAGTTTTTAATTTGTCAGGGTATATCCCTGCTTCAATACATAAATTTATGAGGTAGCTGAAATGCGGAGAAATATTCGTGGCTATATATTTCAGAACTTTAGTACAAATACCATCGTTACCTACACTATTTGTTGTTTTTAAGTTTCTAATAATTCGTAAGACGTCATTTGGTAGACATGGTTTCATAAACATAGAATTTTGTCTAGTGGTCATGTATGATTTATATTGCATTTTGAGTGATTCATTTTGAGGCACTATTTTATCGATAAAATAATTATTGAAGGCATTGGATATGTCATAAGGCTCAGTTATCATTTTGTTATTTACTTTAATACTACTTATTGTATTTTGTGGTAAGTTTAGTTTTGTTTTATTTATAATGTTCCAAGCCGATTTGCTCTTATTATCTGAATTGTTAATTAAATTATTGTTTTGAGCGCGTTGTGTTAATTTTATTACTCTTTTATACCTTTTTGAGAATTCTTTTAATTTTGTTTTATTCGCGTGTGTAGGCAATTTTCTGTATTGCCACAAGAGAATGCGCTTTTTGACACTACAGACTTTTAAGCCTCGTGTTATCCAGTTGGCTTTACGGTGCGTGTGTATCGTGATACGTCTGAACGGGAAGCAAAGATCATAGAATAGTTTAAATAAGTCAATGAAGTTATTATAAGCCACATTTGGATCAACAGCCGCATACATCTCTGAGAAAGACAGTTTATCTATACAAGCATCAAACTTTTTGAGGTTTTCCTCACTATAATCTCTACGCTTAATTTTCCAGCTATTAATCAGGCACACTTTTTGGACTTGGCACTTCAATATCTGAGCTGTGTGATCTGATAGACCGAAGTCAATTACTTCCGCTTTACACTTGTTGCGATAGTTGTGAGCAAAATTGTCAATACATGTATTGCTAATTATTCTGGTTGGCTCAGCTATTGCAAGTTTTAAATTATAAGATAAAAGTAAACATTTAAATTCCGATGTAATGTTGTTTTCTTTTAAAACATTTATGTTAAAATCTCCAGCTAATACTACATTATACTTGTTATAAGTTTTGTTAACATATTGGAGCAACTTTTCTAATCTTGTTAGGAAATTATTTAGGTTACTAGCAGAAGGAACTCTATACAGACATATAATAATAATTTTATGGTCCAACATTTCTACCGCAGAACATTCAAAAGTTAAGCACTCTGTGTGAGACTCCAATTTCGGAACAACTTTCCAACGGTAACCTTTTCTCACAAAAATACACGATCCTCCTCTGCAAGAATTACTTCTGCCAAAGAAGGCAGCCAACGAGTAATTAGGAATCATGCAGATATCCTCGTGGCCTGACATAATAAAATGTTCAGTAAGACAGATAACATCTACATCAGTTTTGTTATCCAAAATTTCTTGTAAGCAGATTGTTAGTGCATCTGACTTGCTCCTTAAGCCTGCAATATTCTGATGGAAAATGGTAATATATTTATGTACGAAAAAGCTTCTGAGAGACAGATTTAATTTCAGATGCTACTATACTATCATTGTTATAATATTCATGTTCCAGATTTATGTACATTTTTATATTTTTGAATATATTTGTCATGCCATTATTATTGAGAGAACCATTAATCTTTGAAAACATTCTATAGTCATAAGTTAAATCCAAATTAGAGTCAATTACTTTTACATAGTCATAGTTATATGTACACATGTCTAGATAAAGGAGATTACAGAAAGTTTCTATCCTGCCATTGTGCATAATAGAACAGTCATTGATTTTATAGGTAGGTAGACAGAGGATAATATTAGTGTGTTGTATTTGTGTCAATTTTTCGCGGATGTCAATTATTATGTCAACATAGTTATAAGTTCGTCGGAAGTCTTCTTCGCCAACCAAAATAACACAGTAGTCGAGTTCTGTGTGTTCTTGAAGTTTTGTATCAATGCCGCTGATGAGTTCTCTTACTCCACAATTTGGTTTTAAATAGTGGCATATTTGGTAGTCTGCGAACGCCTCTTCAGCTATTGTTAGAACTTTGTTCCTTCTATTGCTACTTATGATACTTAGTTTTGGTTTGTCATCTTTGGGTATGTTAATAGTTTGTTTAGTACTTTGTTGCAGTGTGTGCGAAAACAATGCCGTCCCATGTACTGTGTTGGTGTTTTGGTGCGCTGAAGGGGTACTTGCTGGTTGTGCCGATTTTCGTTTATTTTTGTTATGGGTCGGACGATGCGGCGTTGTTGATTTGGAGCTGTTGATAGGAGTTCGAGTACATAAGTCACTTGAAAGATGTTTAGTCGCTTTAGTCAGAATTTCATGTTTACTAGACAAATTTTTAATAGTATTTTTTAACTCTGTATTTTCTAATGAAAGATTATTAATTTCCTGGTGTGCCGAGTTTAGCTCTGAACGCAATGTTAATATTTCTTGTCGAAGGCTTTTTATTTCGTCGTCATCATCAGATATGTTCGGCATACTGTTCGTGCTGCCATCTAGCGTCGAATCATTGGACTCAGTCACTGTGACCGTTTCTGTCATTGAACTGTTCCTTTTTTTTCGGAGGGTAATATTTTCGAAGAAATTCATTTCGTTGGTGGTTTTGGATTATTATTAATAAGTCTTAAGTCTTGGAAATAAATTTAAAATATGGTACAAAAAGTGATTTGTGCGAGAGGTCAGGATCGAACTCGAGCGCCGTTAATTACCAATCGCATTACACACACCTAGGCTATCAAGTCAATTGACATACGATTGAAAAGAGGCAACCGTATGCAGCTAAAAGCTATTAAAAGTCCAAAGGTCAAATTAGTTTGTTCAGAACAAAGGATTGATTACTTAAACCTTTTTTTGTGTTTTTTCCACATCACTGATTATTTTAACACAGTAACACTGTTATGCTGATTGTTGCGCGTGCGCGCGTAGTTCAATTATGTCAAATAGTGTTTTAACACTGTAAATCTTGTGTCCTTTCACTTGCTTAGTCACATTGTATTACACACACTTATTCACCATATAGTACGGAGTTTATTATTAAATCAATATCAACAGTTTGTGAATTACAGTATTAGGTACACTGTTACGCTGCTATTTATTTCTAAAACGCGAATTTACTAATTTTAATAAAATTTTAATACGGAGCTGATG